AGAGATGGAAATTTTATTACCATTTTACAAAAAGGAACAAGTGGCCCTGGCCAGTTTGGCTCAGCGGTTAGAGCGTCGGCCTGCGGTCCGGAGAGACCCGGGTTCGGTTCCCGCTAAGGGCGCGTACTTCGGTTGCAGTTTGTCCCCGGCCCTGGTTGGTCGTGTGGGTGGCAGCCACTCAATGTGTCCCTTCACATCGATGTTTCTCTCTCTCTCTCCCTCCCACTCTATCTGTACAAAAAATGGAAAAATATCCTCGGGTGAGGATAAAAAAAAAAAAAAAAAAAAAAAGGAACAAGTGAAGAAAGTCATCATTATCAAGACTCGTCTCGACCGGTTGTCATTCCTGTGTGGTAGACCACTGACAGATAACACCATGTGTACCCTGAGTTTCATTTCTCTTTCCAGGCGCAGTTGTGTTGTCCAAACATGAAAGGCTGAATAATAATCTCATTCCCTAAGTTATCCTCTCCTAACCTACTCGCAAACATACACAGCCCTAACCAAGATCGCTGGTATCGGAGGTGCCCCCTCGGCCCCTTCCGACTCGTCACAGGGACTTGCAGAGTCTGCCGAGGCACCAAGACGCTGACCGTCCGTTCTGGTCAAAGAGCGGTGGGCATTCCACCTGGGGAAGCAAAGAGATATTTTGGTTTTCAGTGGCACTTTACCTTCTGAATTTGGAGGCATTTCCAAGGATCAGGAAGGCTGTTCTTTGGGGTCATTTGCATTGTGTTAATTAACGTTTTCTCTCTGGATGGAAATAAGGTCCTGTTTTCTGGTGGAAGGCTCTCTCGGTTCACAGACATAAAGGCGGGGGGGGGGTGCATTTCCGCTTTAGGGGTGTGTTAAACTGTGCACAGACGGCCAAACGAATTGTACGGGGCGACAAAGGCAGCCTGTCTCCCGGCTAAGGCCTCCTAGAACCTATAATGACCTAGACCACAGTGTCTGCCAGGAGACGGGGCGACAGAGGACATGACATCAGCTCATTAACGCACAGTTGTTACTTTTTAAAAGCATTTTCGAGCAGAATTGCTTTTTCCTCCAAGGCTAGTCAAGTACGGAAAACACAATCTTAGCAGAGAGAGCACGATGTTCTGGGAGTAAGCTCTCAGCAAATCCGTCGGCCTCGCCTGTGCCCGGGAAGACAATTGTCCTGAAATGGGCAAAGCATGTCCGACCTTCGGTCTCACGCACAGCGTCTGCCTCTGGCTCCCATCAGAATCATTAACGCAAAGTGATTAATGGGATTGTTCTCCCCAAGGGTCAGAGGGTCAGATGCCCGAGAGTCTTGCTAGAATTTCACTTTCACAGTCACCCACGTGGAAATCATGTCTCTGGATGGGAATACGGTAGTTCAAACCTCACGCAGACTTAAAACGAGAAAGGCAACTCCCCTCACGTTCGTGCTATAGGTTCTGAACATGTCCTTGCTGCCTACACTGGACGGGGTAGCAAAAGTAGGTTAGCAGTTGTTTGTATGGAAAACAATACAATTATTAATAAATAATACTACAAGAATAATCTGTGTTTCCGGTGCTCACAAGTGTAGACCTACTTTTGCCCACCCCGTACAGAGAGAGAGAAACATCGATGAGAGAGAACATCGATTTGCCGCCCCCTGCACACCCCCACTGGGGATCTGGCCCACAACTGAGGCATGTGCCCTGACTGGGAATCAAACAGACGACTCTTGGTGCAGGGTTGATGCTCAACCACTGAGCCACACTGGCCAGACTACCCATTTTTTCTATGCTGTTCCAAATCCTTTTCTCTCCGTACAAATTAAATGCTCTTGTACCTTTCTGGTTGACCATCTGCATTTCACGTCACGTGGGCTTCTAGAAGTATGGGGTCTGATGTCCCCTTCTGTGGTGTCAGTAACTGAGGTGGCCATCTGTTCAGGACTGACCAGGGCCTGGCCATGCTTTCCGGTGACTTTCTCTTATCTCTGCTCCCCTCTGTCCAGGGTTGATCTGGAATTTAGCTCTTGGGGGGCCATCTCAGGTCATACGGTGGTTGTTGTCACGTCACTCGTAACCATCACCAAATGCGTCTGAGGGAACTGGCTGTTGAGATGGTCCTGCTCCAAGGATGAGGACCACTTGCTTCCACGTGAGCAAAACAAGGGCCTAGAAACACACAGGTGTAAACACACACACACACACACACACACCTCTTGTTTTACCAGAAAGAGGACACATTTTCTCTGCCTTTTAGACAGTCTTGCAAGTCTATCAAAGAACACCCTAACGTTACTGTTTAAAAATATTTATTGTTGTTGCCCAGCTGGTGTGGCTCAGTGGTTGAGTGTCGTCCCATGGACTAAGAAGTCCTGGTTTGATTCCCGGTCAGGGCACATGCCTGGGTTGTGGGCCCGAGCCCCAGTAGGGGGCGTGCAGGAGGTGGCCGATCGATGTTCTCTCATCGGGGTTTCTATCTCCCGCTCCCTCTCCCTTCCTCTCTCTAACATCAATAAAGAATAAATAAAACTCATAAAATTCATTTATTAAAAAATCTTTATTGTTGAGAGTATTACAAATGTCGCTCCCTGCCACCTTTTTTTTTGTTTTTAAACTGCTCTGCTCTTGGCCAAGCCCTTTCTACATTAGCAATGCCTGGACCTGCTTCCAAAGTGCTTCCCACATGGTCTGAACTGTGTTACACAAGGCTCCGAACCTCCAAGACAGTGTCGTGAGGGGACTGAACCTCTACTTTTCGGATGAGGCAATTGCAGCCCAGCGAGGGAAGCAGCCGGGTTGAGGGTAGAAGCCATTAGGGGGCGCTGGAGCTCAGGCCTCTGAGTTCTAAGAGCTTAGAGCTTCCTGACTCCTCCAGGCAGTGCCCCTAAACAGGACCACCCACAGAGAAGCGTGTGTGTCATTTATAAACAGTTGCGCTGAGATATAATTCATGTACCATGCGACCCGCCCACTTACAGTGTATAATTCAGTGGCTTTTCGTAGATGCACAGAGTGGTGCCTCCATCAACACCATCAATTTTAGAACATTTTCATTACAGCAAAAAGGGACCTGCACTCCTATCTGTAACCCCCCACAATGCACCCTCCCCACTCCCTGAGCAACTAACCTACTTTCTGTCTCTGTGAATCTGCCTATTCTGAGCCTTTATGTAAATGGAATTATACAACATGGTCTTTCGTAAGTGCTTCTTTCGCTCCGCGTGACGCCTCCACGGTCATCTATGTCTCGAGTGTGAGGATGTCATTGATCTGGAAGGTGTCATGTTCCGTCGTATGCACCAGTCCATTTCGTTCATCCAGTCATTAGTTCATGGATATTTGGGTTGACTTGTTCCCACTTCTCGGCTATTTTGAACGATGCTGCAATGACCATTCCTGTACAAGTTTCTATGTGGGTATGTTTTTTATTCTCTTGAGAATATACCTAGAAGTGGAATCGCTGGGTCATCTGGTAACTCTGTGTCTAACCATTTGAGTAACTGCCCGGCTGTTTACCAAGGTGGCTGCCCCATCTCCCATGTCTCCAGCAGTGTTTATCTCCACATCCTCAGTACATGTTATGATCTGTCATTGCTGCTGCAGCATCTCCAAGTGGGTGTAAAGTGGTATCTCCCTGTGGCTTTGAGTTGCATTTCTTTAATAGCTAAAGATGCCCAACGTCTTCCCCGTGCTTGTGGGCCATCTGCATGTCTTCTTTGGAGAAATGTCTCTTCAGAAGCTCTGTTTAAATATTTGGGACAATTCACCAGCAAAGCCATCTGGTCCTGAGCTCTTAGGTAGGGAGACTCTTGATAACAAACTCAATCTCTTGTTATATGTCTATCAGATTGTCTATTCCTGGGTCCAGTCGGGCAGTTGGTCTTTGTAGGAATTTTCCCATTTCACCTGTTATCTCATTTGCTGTCACACAGATGTTCATAGTGTTTCCTCGCAGTTCTGTTTTTTGTTTGGTTGTCTGTTTCCCTGTAAGGTCAAAAATAATTTGGGGATATAGTTTTAAGTTCCTCTGTCAAAAGCACACTGTTTCAGGTCTTATACCTTCTTGTAAAAAAAGAAAGAAAGATATTCTATGACTACATCTATTTTAACATAAAAGTAACACTGACATTATTTACCACTGAGTAGAAACGAAAAACCAGAGAAAGTTCCCAGGATATATCCTGTTTTTTCACTATCTTATCCTCCAAACAAGGGCAGCTCGGTTGGAGATGAGCATCACAAGATAAATTCTCCCCAGGGCGAGTGTCCCATCCCTCCCCAGGACAGCCCGTCCGTCTGCCCCTAACTCTGCTAAGGTCCTGTGTGGAAGGACCAGGGTTCCACAATACACCCACAGACTGGAGACACAAGACCAGAGAATCAACACATCTCACTGTGCACACAGATCCATCCACAAAGCATTCCTGCACTCGTAACAGGGGAGGGGATGGGGAAGGAGACCGTGTGAGTGTGAGTGTGTGAGTGTGTGTGTGTGTGTGTGAGTGTGTGTGTGAGTGTGTGTGTGTGCTCTGCTGCAGATGGTAGGGCAGGAACACCTGTGACAGGTCCTCTCCTTTTATCTCTGAAATACCACCAGCAAAAACTAAATAGCCGAAGTGAAGTATTTTCCCCCGAAATGAACACCAGAGAAGAATATTTTTAACAAAGCAGCAGTTCAGGTTACTTTAAAGCGAGTCCTGTTTCTTTCAACTTCAACAAATGAGATCACCAACATTCAGATGTTCGCTGCGACAAAATAAAATAAAAGCCCAGAATTTAACTGCATTTTTAAAATACACGAGTGATCTTTAGCATGTATAGTAAACAAACTGGATTCACAGAAACCTAAGATGGAAATGATAGTGTAATGGCTACATTAACTCTAACATTTCCCCCAAACCTTTAAAATTAATGACTTGAATTCATGATCAATTAATCACAGCTTCAGTTCCTAGTAAAGATGATCGTTATTAACTCATGTGTTGAATTCATCATAATAAAAAATATTCCATTTTCCCTTTTTGGTTTCCTTAGAAAAACTGTTCTTAAAAAGCACCTGCTACTCAGTGGTACGCGTGTTCGGACCAGACATCATAAAACTGTGAGTATGCGGGACCTGGATCTGACCCTTCACTGCTGGGACGTGGGGGGAGCAGAAACGCGGGGGCAGCCTGCTCGGTGTCCCGCAGGGGCACTTACTGAACAAGGGCTTGGGCTGCGGCGTGCCAGGTCTTGTTAATAGTGAAAAATGCAAACCTCCCTGGGATCCTTTGTCGCTCTAGGCCAAGGCTCCCCTGAATTGCAGTGTGACAACCCGGCTTCATTTCCCTCCAAACGCCTTTCAGGAGAAGTTTCACCAACAGCAATAAATGCCTGGACCCTGCGGGCTGGACAAGGCCTGCGACCCTCTCTCCCGAGCTCCCCAACATGCCCCAGCCCGTCCCTTCTCAGGCCATGATCTTCCCAGTTCTTCTCCACTGTCCTCGCATCTAGGGTCCCTGCCCCTCTGCCTTCCCAGCCCCGCCCTGCCCCTCAGTATCCCACACCCGCACCATTATCACTATCTGTCTGCACCCTTTCTTATCTCTCTGTTTTTAGCTTAGCAGCACTGGATCAGATAAATCCCATGTTCATGGAAGTTTCTTGTCAAGGATCCATACATGGCTTTCTTATACTTATTATTTGGGTCATTACTTAGTTACTTTAAATAATGTAATTAGGCCCTGGCCAGGTTGGCTCAGCAGTTAGAGCATTGGCCCTCGGACCAATGAGTGATGGGTTCAATTCCGGCCAAGGGTACATACCTTGGTTGCGGTTCATCCCCAGCCCTGGTTGGGTCATGCAGGAGGCAACCAGCTGATGTGGCTCTAACACATCGATGTTTCTCTCTGTCTCTCTCTTTTTCCCTCCCTTCCACTCTATCTGATGATAAATAGAACAGTATCCTCGGGTGAAGAATAAAAATAAAAATAATAATAATAATAGCCCTGGCCAGTTTGGCTCATAGGTTAGAGTGTCGGCCCACAGACCAGAGAGTCCCAGGTTCAGTTCCTGTTAAGGGCACGTACTTCGGTTGCAGTTTGTCCCCGGCCCCAGCTGGGGTGGTGTGGGTGGCAGCCAGTCGACGTGTCTCTTATATTGATGCTTCTCTCTCTCTCTTCCCCCCTCTCTCCCTCCTGCTCTATCTGAAGATAAATGCAAAAATGTCCTCAGGTGAGGATAAATACAAATAATAATAATAACAACAACAACAATAATGTAATTAGCTTCGAAACCCACTACTCGGCTCTAGGACCTCGACAGTAACTTACTCTAACCAGAGGGTCTCTCTCTCCCTCACAATGCTTTTCTCCACCCAAGTAGCAAATCCCATGTTCATCTTTCTCTTGCTTTCCTTTTTCTATGGTTTCATCATGTTAATATAATTGAGTATAATGATATAAAAGCAGTATATATGATAATATAAGATAATTCCATAACATAATTAATAATATATTTAGTATATGTTCTTTTAAAACATATACATTGTTATTTCAGTTATTTCTTTACTTTATGAAGAGGGTATCACATTGTATATAATCTTTTGGGACCTGCCGCTCCAATGTGTGAGTCTGAGATCCATCCAGAGAGTTATGTTGTTGCTATAGTTATGTGCTCTGACTGTATAGACTATCCAGTGTGTCTCCACGGGAGTCTACTCCTTCCCTCTCCCGTGGATGGCTGTTTGGGTTGTTTCCTGGTTTTCTCTCTTCTGGATGCTGGTACAATGCACAACGCTATGTGGTTCCTCTTCTCTCTGCCAGTAGCCTCAGAGGAGAGAGGACAGCGAATTGTAAAGACAAAGAAACTGGAAATCACGCAGGCCAGGGCGACCATCGGTGCCCAGCCTGCGGTGCACCTGCCCCATTCGTACTGACCTCACTCTGCCGTGGTCAGTGATTTCTCGTGGGCCCTGGGCTGCGAGTGTTCGGAAGGCAGAGAACCTGTCTTCTGGCCAAATATCTTCCTAACGCAAGCGAACTGTGGCTCTCTCCGAGGTACAATTCTTCACACCCTCTGCAGGTTCCTAGCCCCGTACCCGGCTCTTTCTGAACCGGTGCCTGAGGACATTTCCAGACTTGTCCCTGGCAGCTCCACGGCACATCACAATCCAAACCACTCATAATCCCGCCCCTCCCTTCCCCGCCACACACACAACAGGAGGTTCCTGCCTCAGGGCCTTGGTAGGGGATGTTCCCTCTGCTTGGCACATCCAAACAAATTGTCTCCCCCAGACAAATCCTGCTTCTTTGGACCTCAGCTCCAGAATCACTTTCTCTGGAGGCCTTCCTGACCCCCCCAGGATAAAACAGACACCCTGCGACCACTACCAACACCACACACACACACACACACACACACACACACACACCCGGTACCCTGTGCAAACCCCAAGCATAGCACTTGCCACATCTATCTGTAATTTAATTCTCTATTGACTTTTCCGAGTTGCTAACCAGCCTGAAAGCCTTCTGGGGGCTAGGACTACACTTTATTCATCTTTGTATTTCTAGGTACTTAGCAAAATACTAAATATATGGAAAAAGGAAGGGGTGGGGGAGGGCTTGGAATCTCCAGGGCTTGGTACAATACTTAAGCATAGAAGGCTTTCAATAAATGTTTGTGTAATCAGTTCTTTAAATAAAACACAAAATTAACACTGCAGATGAGCTGTGAGTAGGCTGCGTCAAAGAAAATTACTTGGACATGTTAAAAAAGAACAAAAACAAAACCTTTTAGCCTACTCGGTGAATCTGTTTACATACCTAACATGAGCCAGGAGCTTTGGGGAAACGTCAGTTTGGCCAGACAGTGTGGGCTGGGCCTAGATCCAGAAACCAGGGAGGTAAATGGAATACAGTCACAGAAGCCAAAGTGGGCAGTACACCCAGATACCCAAAAGGGGGTGCCAGAGATCGGCTACAAAGCATTCTGGGAGTAAAAGGCAAGTCAGTGTCCTGGGTCCATTCGGAAACCCGCCGACCTTCAGTAGCTAGCCAGAGAGTGCCGAGTGGGACAGGCGCAAGGATCAGACAGGGGACAGACAGACACTGCACAAGGCCCCGGGCACCTCAAACAACTACAAGTGAACACAGGTGTTAAGAAAGAAGGGGGCCAGCAAGCCACCAAGAGAGGGTCACTCTCCGCATAGGTGCTGGGAAGGGGATGACCTTTTTCTTTGAGATGATTCAAAGTCGTGAGATGACTAGTCCTCCTTAGTAAGGGGTGGGCCACTTTGAAGAAGGCATATGTGAAAAATAATCCCCCCTTGTGGTTCTGTCCACAATTGCCAGTACCGACATTAGTTGTTTGCTGATCGAAATTGTTCCTCTTACATGTGCTCTTCTTACAGCCTGTGTTAATCAGGTAGATACAGTTCGGGGCGGAGGTGGGTCGTGACAGTGGCAACCTCATGTTCCAATATTAAATGTGTTTCCTAACCCGGAGGACATCGTTCCTCCTCAATATTTCCCTCCAGTCACTTCTCAGCCATGCATGGACTAAATTATTTGGTAATTACACTTCCTACCTACAGGGTGTTGTTAGGAAGTGGGACACCTGAGCATTCAGGCTTATTTCTCCAAGAACCTGGGTCACGCAGGGAGGGCTACCTCGAAGGGCAGCCGATCCTGGCCAGTGACCACACGCTGTGTCCTCCTGTGCCTCACCTTGACCTCCAGTGTGCCACGGGCTGCCATAGCAAACCTGATCCTGGTCTGCTGTTCATCTTAGCTCTCGTCCTCGACTCTATTTACGCTTCCCATTAAATCATAAAATAGTGTGTTCCCAACCTCAGAGCTCTCAGAGATCAGGAGAGGCCTCAGCTACAAACATTTTTTAGAAGAAAAATGCAAAATTAGTTTTCTAACAATTATGCTACTATACCTTAAATGTAATTAATGATTTTTTAGACACCCATCTACAAAGCAATATAACGGTGCCATTCACATGATAACTTCAAGATTTATAGAATTAATTAAATTCATAGTACACTAGAAGGCATGGGGTCCAGAAATAGGATAAAAGTAGTAATTTGTGAGAGGAAAAACTTCTTTCACTGCTTGAGTGTATCTCTGTGGCTATATATTAATATACAAAGCCTCCTTTGCAAGTGACATCAAAGGTCTGAATCTGATAGCTTTCATGTGTGAAAGTGTTACTCTGCCCATCTGTTAACTTAACCCGGACCTTGATCCCTCCTTTGTGGTTTATGATAATGATGATGATCATCATCATCATTCTACTGTAATCCTACCTGGAGTTGCTAATTAGCTCTGCCAAATGTGCGGAAGTCCACCGGTCCCCACGTGCCTCTCCTGCACACCTCTGTCCTTGTCAAGGTAGCAAAAGGAAACACAGTCAATTACAACATGACCATTTCGGTCCTATTTGCCGTGCTGAGAAAAAGAAAGCCATGTTGGGTGGGAATGGTTATTATGAGGGGAAGGAGAACAGGTTTTAGATACCGCCTGATAGGTTGGCTCTGGTTGGCCACAGGTGGGTTATTGACTGTAGATACAATTAATTAATTAATTAGTTATTAATTAATAAGAAAGATTAAGCAGAACCTATTTATCACCCTCCTGAGTCTACGAAATAGCAGACCCTCCTGAAGACAGAAGTCATCAGTTAAATAAATGGACCGTTCATTGGGGAACAGCCTCCCTCTCCCGATCAGTGAGCCTTGGCAGACACTGAACCGGTCATGGGCCTTGCCTCTGTCACAAACAGCCTGTCCCACCGCTTGTTAGATGTGGCCTCTTTATGCTTCAAGGGTCTTCCTCTCCACCTCCACGAGGAATCCCGGGGCCATGCAGACGACTCTCCTGATGAACTCTTTCCCTTTCAACTCGGGAGCTCACAAAAGGTCAAGAAGCCATCATGCCAGTCACACTGCTCATCTCGTTCAGCTGGAAGGCAACTGGGGAGCCCGTGGTCCCCAGCCTGTATGTTTTCACACACCAGTGACCATCAAAATATTTCAAGGAGGCGGCCCCTCCTTCTCTGATGGACTTTGAAATGATGCATTCTCCCTACTCTGGGGCAGTTCTTTCTGCAGAAAGTTTCATGACATAACCCTCAAGGTCCCTCCCAGCACTTTGTGGTCTGCAGTTCAAAGGCAGTGAGGGTCTGCCGTGCGAGTTTGATGTCCAGAAATCGTCGCAGCTGCTGCTCAGCACACCAGTGAAACCAGGGTGCCGCTCTGTCGTTGGCCTCGTGTTTGTCTACCCTTTCGAAAGCTCACATGTGTTATGCTGTGGGTCCAGGTGCCACCCCCCTTGGAGCACAGTGTGCAGAATGGCTGTCAGGGGGATGAGGCAGAGATGGGGGTGGAGTTGGGGCACAGACCCAGGGACTTACTGCCAGGCCTGAGTCACAGGGACCAAGCATTCCCCAGCTAACAGGGGGTTCTCCAGGGTTGGCCCCTGTATGGGCTGTGACTGCTGTCAAACAAACAAACAAACAGAAAAGAACAGAAACAGTATGTCCTTGATTATGAAGAAGGAAGACCAGGAGGAGGAGGGTCAGGGAGAGAAGAGACATGGCAGTAATTGTAAGAATTATAGAGGTGGTCATCATAATAGTGGGGGGTGGATTTATATAATAAGGGAGCCTACGACATACATGGAACTCAAAGGCAGAAACATATCCAGGCTCAGGACAGAGGTTGGGAACAGGACTGGGGAGCCCCCAGGAACACAGGAGGACCTGCCCCAGACTCTGTCAGTGCAAGTGTTGGGTTCTGTCTCCTGAACCCATCCAGCAGGCTAGCTTGCCAAAGCCCCGTCCACATGGCGGGAAATGGTATCACAGTCTGAAGTCACTGTAGCTCCTATTATTCCGGAAACAGCCCAGAATGAAGTCAAACTTTTTGATACCAGTTGCAGATTTCCATAGGAGAGAATCTGATTGGACCTACTTGAACAGTAGTCTAATGAAGTCCAATCAACTGGCTGGGAATTATGAACTTTAAACATGGTTGCCAGGAACCCGCCCTACTGGTGAAGGGGGACAGTTAATTGATCATATGAGCTGGAAATAGACCCCCAAAAGCATCTTCTAGAATTTACAACTGTTATTCCAAGATATTACCAACCTATGTTTCTGGCTTCTTTGTTTTTGTTGTTTGGCGTGGTTTGGGTTGGGTTGGGTTTGAGTGAATAATTTACTTGGAAATGTTACTAAAAGTACATCCTTCCCTGATTTCATTGAAGTAGCACAATATTTACGCTCATTATGCTTGGTAAGAAGAGGTGTCAGACAGAAAACGGATATGGAAGTCTTGTTTGAGCTCCTTCAAACCTAGACATAAACCAACATATTTGAAGAATAACAATTCTTTCTCCATCCCCAGGGGAAAAAAGTCAACCCGATTGTATTTTCTTCCATACAGTAAAGAAATATTTAAAGGGAAGAGATGATTTGGATTATGCCTGAGATATAATTTGGGGAGTTTAAGACTATATCATAAATGATTTTTTGCTATAAGCCCTGGGAAACTTTAAAATATCGTCCCCATCCAGTTACACCCCTGTCCATCTCTCCTTTCCCGATTTTATTGGTGGCTTCTGCTGAACGAATGTCACACACCTTGCGAAGCGGACACACAGCTCAGGGCCGTGCACACCCCGTCCCCACCCCTACGACCGTCTTCAAAGGCAGACGAGAGCAAGGTGGCAGGAAGTCTTTGCGACCCGGCACACACAGGACGGCACTGAGGCCAGGCTGCAAAGCGTCGAGGGGATTAGGATCCATCCTGGGATTTACCTCTCCTCCAAATAGCATCTATTTTCCAGTGCCTGAGAGATCTTAATAGCCATTGTTTTGCCCCATTTTCCTCCAGGCTCAGTGCTGACATGAATGCTGACGTCGTGTGTCACACCCTGCAGTTCTGTCAACAGGACCCAGGCCAAGCCTTCTGTCATCTCTACCCACTTCCCAAGGTGAGTGAGTGGGTTTCACCAGAAATGTCCGATGACTGTGACACACAAGCCCTTTGGAAGTGCTGTGAGGGGGGCTCAGCTTCCCTCAGCAATTTGGGGACAGAGGCAAGATGACATTTTCAATGACATCGTGTAAAATAATCTTCCCAAGTTTTAACCTAGATCTCTCCCCCCATGCTCCCCCCGTGCTGTTTACTATGATGCTGGGCTGGCCATCGGTAGGAGATCTGACCAGCCAAGGACAGAAGAGGTTTAAATCCCTCTCTACTGATTAAAAATCAAGCAAGTCCCTTTCATAAGGTGACCACCTCTCCCTGGTTTGCCCTGGACTTTCCTGACACAAGCACTGAAAATGCCACATGTAGGGAAACGTGGGCAGTCGGTCACCTTAGTCTGAGCTGTATTGTCCCCTCCTACCCCCACCCCCACATCAAATGGGTATGATAAAATACCCCAAATCCCTCTTTCAAGATTAATGATGGAAAGTAGGTGAGTTAAGACATTTAAAATGCTTAGCACAATACCTGCTACATTAAAAAGTGTTAATGCAAATGGTGGCTACTATAATTATTAGCAATATCACGATTATTCAGAGATGGCTGTTCAGAATACCCTGTGGGCACCACATCATGGTGGACAGTTTCTAATTGGCACGCAGGCGACAGAAGGCAGCCGTGTTGACTGGATGCCTTTCCCACGCTCTGAGTGACAGTACAGTATTAATCCAGTCGGGCCTCACAATATTGACATGCAGAAGCTTCCTGTAAAAATAAAATACAAACACCCTGGCCAGTTTGGCTCAGAGGTTAGAGTGTCAGATCGAAGGGTCGAGGGTTCGATTCCCAGTCAAGGGCACGTACCTGGGTTGCAGGGTTTTTTTTTGTTTGTTTGTTTGTTTTAATCCTCACCCGAGGACATTTTTCCATTTTTTGTACAGACAGAGTGGGAGGGAGAGAGAGGAAGAGAGAGAGAGAGAGAGAGAGAAAAACACATTGATGTGAAAGGGACACATCGAGTGGCTGCCACCCGCACGACCAACCAGGGCCGGGGACAAACTGCAACCGAGGTACGTGCCCTTAGCGGGAACCGAACCCGGGTCTCTCCGGACCGCAAGTGGACGCTCTAGCCGCTGAGCCAAACCGGCCAGGGCTGGGTTGCAGGTTTGATCCCTGGCCCTGGTCAGGGTCGTGCAGGAGGCAACCAATCAATGTGTCTCTCTCACATCAATGTTTCTCTCTCTCTTTCTCTCTCCCTTCCTTTCACTCTTTCTAAAAATCAGTGGAAAACGGTCCTCCGATGAGGATGAACAACAAAAAAAATTTAATTAATTAAAATACAAAATAAAATTCTATGCGTCCTTTCCAGAAGTGTAGTTTTTCTGTATATAATACTACAGGTCCTTGTTTTGTTTATAATTTCCTTTTTATTCTCATTGGAATGACGTCTATTTAACACTCGGGGGCTGATCCCACGCACACGATTTTGCTGACTGACAGTATTAAGCAGCGAGGAAAGAGATACAGACGCCGGGGGTGCGTGTGCGTTTCACGCTTCCCCCTCCCTGACCCGTGTGCCTGTCCCATCTCCCGTCATCCTACCTGAGAACGGTGGCCCCGCCGGCTGCCGGAAGAGAGTTAGTTTTAATCTTAAAAATACTTTTCCTGTGTTCCCGTAGCATGTGGCGATCGTACAGTGGTGTCTGCTGTTTGGTAAAAGTCCAGAGGAATCATGTGTGCCCGAGGCAGGTGACATGGGTTCTGTGATTTCCTCGCAGACCCCGTGTTGTGTACACCTCACACCCACCGCTATACGTAGCCACAGAACGTTCAGCTTCAAAGCAATGTATCTCTGTCCTCCGTGGAGTCTATACTAGGAATGTCATTGTTGCGGTGTACTACTGACACATACCAAGCAGGTGTGAATTGGTAGGGAGTCTCTGTCCTCCGTGGAGTCTATACTAGAAACGTCATTGTTGTGGCGTACTACTGACACACACCAAGCAGGTGTGAACTGGTAGGGAGTCTCTGTCCTCCGTGGAGTCTATACTAGAAACGTCATTGTTGTGGTGTACTACTGACACCTACGAAGCAGGTGTGAACTGGTAGGGAGTCTCTGTCCTCTGTGGAGTCTATACTAGAAACATCATTGTTGTGGCGTACGTACTACTGACACCTACAAAGCAGGTGTGAATTGGTAGGGAGTCTCTGTCCTCCGTGGAGTCTATACTAGACACGTCATTGTTGTGGTGTACTGCTGACACCTACGAAGCAGGTGTGAACTGGTAGGGAGTCTCTGTCCTCCGTGGAGTCTATACTAGACACGTCATTGTTGTGGTGTACTACTGACACCTATGAAGCAGGTGTGAATTGGTAGGGAGTCTCTGTCCTCCGTGGAGTCTATACTAGACATGTCATTGTTGTGGTGTACTACTGACACCTACAAAGCAGGTGTGAACTGGTAGGGAGTCTCTGTCCTCTGTGGAGTCTATACTAGACACGTCATTGTTGTGGTGTACTACTGACACCTACGAAGCAGGTGTGAACTGGTAGGGAGTCTCTGTCCTCCGTGGAGTCTATACTAGACACGTCATTGTTGTGGTGTACTACTGACACCTACAAAGCAGGTGTGAACTGGTAGGGAGTCTCTGTCCTCCGTGGAGTCTATACTAGGAATGTCATTGTTGTGGTGTACTACTGACACCTACGAAGCAGGTGTGAACTGGTAGGGAGTCTCTGTCCTCCGTGGAGTCTATACTAGACACGTCATTGTTGTGGTGTACTACTGACACCTACGAAGCAGGTGTGAACTGGTAGGGAGTCTCTGTCCTCCGTGGAGTCTATACTAGACACGTCATTGTTGTGGTGTACTACTGACACCTATGAAGCAGGTGTGAATTGGTAGGGAGTCTCTGTCCTCCGTGGAGTCTATACTAGACATGTCATTGTTGTGGTGTACTACTGACACCTACAAAGCAGGTGTGAACTGGTAGGGAGTCTCTGTCCTCTGTGGAGTCTATACTAGAAACATCATTGTTGTGGCGTACTACTGACACCTATGAAGCAGGTGTGAATTGGTAGGGAGTCTCTGTCCTCCGTGGAGTCTATACTAGACATGTCATTGTTGTGGTGTACTACTGCACCTACAAAGCAGGTGTGAACTGTTGCGGTGTACTACTGACACCTATGAAGCAGGTGTGAATTGGTAGGGAGTCTCTGTCCTCCGTGGAGTCTATACTAGACATGTCATTGTTGTGGTGTACTACTGACACCTACGAAGCAGGTGTGAACTGGTAGGGAGTCTCTGTCCTCCGTGGAGTCTATACTAGACACGTCATTGTTGTGGTGTACTACTGACACCTACGAAGCAGGTGTGAACTGGTAGGGAGTCTCTGTCCTCCGTGGAGTCTATACTAGACACGTCATTGTTGTGGCGTACTACTGACACATACCAAGCAGGTGTGAACTGGTAGGGAGTCTCTATCCTCTGTGGAGTCTATGCTAGAAACGTCATTGTTGTGGTGTACTACTGACACCTACAAAGCAGGTGTGAACTGGTAGGGAGAATTACCTGCCTGCAGAAGGTAGGTGAAGATACAGATGGAAATAACGTCCAGCCTGCCAGAAGCCTTCCTCATGACCCTCCCCAGTCACACCGCCCCCAGGCAGCCACTATTCTGTTACCTGTCACCACAGGTGAGTGCACTTAGGTACAGGCCGTCTTGAACTTCATCCCACCAGCATCCCACAGAACACTGTGCTCTGTGACTGGCCCCCCCTTGTCCATGACATTCATCTGTGTTTTGCATGTAACAGTATTGTTGCCGAAAGTAGTCACAAAATCATCTCTTTTTTGTTTTTGGAGGTTAGAACTATATATTTAAATGTGTTCCTTTTTTACTAGATGTTTTAGGGTGGCCTTGGTTAATAGGGTCATGCAGGTTTCAAGTGGACATGTCTGACACACGATCTGTACACCGCCTGTGTGCCCACCACCCAGAGCGCAGCCAGCCTTTGGCGTAACTCCTGCTGTAGCTTCGCTCAGTGCAACCCAATCGGCTCTCGCCTTCTTTCCGATCCATTTCCACGCTGGCTGCCAGAAATACCTTTCTAGAAGGAAACAGGATCCTGCCACCCACCTGTCACCCTGCCTTTGCCGGGAAAGCAGTGTCTCCCTCATCTGTAACCTGCTCAGCTGCTCCTCCCGCAGACCTCAGCGCCATGCTGCCACCACAGGGGGCACTGCTGAGTCCTCTGCACACCCCTCTCCTCGGCGCTCCCGTGGTCTCCTCACTGGACTGGCTCGACACCGTGTGCTTGCCCACCGGCTGTCTCTCCCACTGGCCCTGACCTCCAAGGGGACGGACACTCTGCTTGCCCACCACTGGACACCCAGGGCCAGGGATGGCGCCTTCTACCTACCAAAGAAATCTTTGTTCAATCAGTAAATGAGCCCTGGCCAGTTGGCTCAGCAGTAGAGTGTCTGCCCGTGGACCAATGAGCGCAGGTTAGATTCCAACCAAGGGCATGTTACCTCGGTTGCGGTTCATCCCGGGCCCTTGTGGGGGTCATGCAGGAGGCAACCAGTCAATGTGTCCCTCTCACGTCGATGCTTCTCTGTCTCTCCCTCTCTCCCCGTCCCACTCTGTCTGAAGATAAATAGAAAAATATCCTCAGGTGAGGATCAAAACAGTAAGGCTCTGGCTGGTTTGGCTCAGCGGTTGGAGCATCGGCCTGCGGTCCAAAGAGACCCGGGTTTGGTTCCCGCTAAGGGCACGTACCTTGGTTGCAGTTTGTCCCCGGCCCTGGTTGGGTCGTGCAGGTGGCAGCCACTTGATGTGTCCCTTTCACGTCGATGTTTCTCTCTCTCTCTTCCTCTCTCTCCCTCCTGCTCTATCTGAATAAAAAATGGACAAATGTCTTCGAGCAAGAATAAAAAATAATAATAATAAGTAAATGAAGAGCCACTGGCTTCTCGTCGACATTACTAATAGAAAGCCAGAT